TATTTCATATTTCAACACTCTACCACAAAATGAAATTTTGTAAATCAAAATTTTGACAATTTTGGCGATAATTGATTTAGTAACATTTTTCGATGAAATGCGTATCCAAAAGAGTCTGCTCGTCTGGTGCATTTGTTAGATGTTGTCGTAATTGAATGTGTTAGGTGCAGTGCAATTTCGGCTGACAAGGGGGCTTAGGCAAGTGTAAATTCCTGATCTTGCCCAAACTCGGTATATTTGTTTCTTATCTATATTGATGACGACTGACGGTAGTATTTTTTCCTGAGAGTCAATTTCTGGGGTACTTTAGGGGAGGCAATAATGGAAAAAATATTGAATTTGGGCCAAAAATGACGGAAGGAGGCCTCAAATCGAAAAATGCCAGAGGAACTACCCCCCCAAAACCACTCATTTTGAGTCAGAATTTCACTTAATATTTATACAAAAGTAGAAATTTGTATTTTGTGAAATTATACGCTTTTATAGGGAGTTTCGGCACATGACTCTCAGGAAAAAATTTGGTCAGCTTTCGTCACCTACATAGATAACAAGCAAATATACCGAGTTTGGGCACGATCGGGAATTTACACTTGCCTAAGTCCCCTTGTGAGTGCTGTCAAAACTTTTGTGGAGGCTCGCTTCAGCACATGTCTTATTGTTCTTTTAATAATAATGTAAGTACTCATCTTTAACTCCATTAATTTGGTTTTCTGCTTTGTCAGGCTGGCTGCAATTTTTCATTTCATGGATACGTTGTAGCTAGAAATCAGCCAATCAGAGGCCTTGAATGGCCACTAGAACGTATCAAACAAAGTGGTAATTGCAAACCTGCTGGCAAACGCCACATTATTGACAAGGCAATCCTATCTGTACATATTCTAGTAATTCCCCCCTGCCTGCTCCACCTCCCATTTGCCTCCAGCATTGAGCACCGGCATCGAGAGCTCACAAGGGGACAGTACGTAGTATCCCGCAGCTCGGTCAATGGATGGAAAGAGGATGGGCCGTTGGCCCTGCCTGCCTGCCAACGCTCACACACACACACAGGGGCGTTACGCACAGCGCCACCGCACCACGGCAACAAGCAGCCGACAGGCCGGCGGGGAGAGCAGAGGGTCGGGGGGGGGGGGCTAAACAAGTAAATCAGTGGGCCAGCGGGGCCTGACAGCTCAGCTCTGCGCTTGGACTTGGAAGGAGGAAGAAGAAGGGATCTTCCTGAGCAGCAGGCTCCATCCACTGGTTTGGTTTTGCATGCAGTAAAGAGGAGGGAGGGGGGCTGGGCTCACGGCTCACTGCAACGCCATTGACAAGTCCGGTGTGCAGGACCAGGCAGGGCGTGTGTGTTGTTCCCTTTCTCCTCCCCTCCTCGGCAGATACGCGATCAGCCAGCACGGCCGCCGCTTCTTCCATCTCGTTACTCAACGTGCTCGTCGTTTTGTTGTTGTTCAGGTGGAGGAGGATAAGGGCCTCGCCGGCCTCGCCCAGCCTCAGTCAGCACCACGACCTCACCGGCATTCTGCCTCACTGCACCCCGCCTACCCCGCCCCGCCGCAGACATGGACCGCCCCGGACGGACAACGCCACACATCAGCACAGATGTTGACTTTTCACCGGGCCGTGCGGGGGTGGGTCGTGCGACCCTACCCTCCCCGCGCCCCTCGCCCCCCGCCGAGCCGTGCCGTGCCGAGCCGCGGCCGTGTAGCCGCGCGCCGAGCCGGTCCGGAACCGAACGGGCCTACGGCCTACCAAGGCAAAAGCAAGGAGGGGACGAGCCGACAACGCCGCACTGGACTTGCCGCTCCGGTCGCACGAGTCGAGAGGGATTCATTCAAGGGCCTTATTGGACGGTCACTCGATTGTGTGTGTTTTACACTCTCCGATGTGCTTTTCCGGGTGCGGGAAAAGGGGAGGGGAGGCCCAGCCCAGCGGGACGCCGCTCTGCATTTCGGGGACCTGTTTGCATCGAGGGCGACGCGGGGGTTCGCGAGAATGACAGCCTCCTTCACGATAATGTCCCTCCTGTCCGATCATTTAGCCATCGGGGGTGGGTGAGGGGGATTGCGGGAGGCGGAGAAGGAGGGAAGGGGGTGTAGGGGAGGAAGTAGGGTAGACGGGCAGAGGGGTTGGTGGCATGAAGGGGGCGCTTCGGGTGGTGGTTATCAAAGTAAACCATACGTGTTTATGTTATCCATGAGTTTTTAATTTGCCTTTATGACTCCGATTTAAGGTCGTGGACACCCGAGGAGGCAGAACGGTCTGACTCTGAGGACCTTTGGCCCGAAGAAGACAAATCAGCGATGGTTGGACTCTGATGACGAGAAAGACCCAGGAAAGACCACAAACGCCGAGGACCAGGGAAGACCAGCAGACGCCAAGGACCATGTCAGGCACCAGGCTGTGCCGCGGCTTGGGTGACGGGGCTGGTTGGGGTGAGTACAGACACCAGATAGTTGTATATACCTGTTCAATCACCGATTATATTGGATTCGCGAAGTCTCTGCTGGAATGCGCTCCGCCCGCCACCTCCGCAGCCACGGTGTCCGCAGCACACATGCAGCAGAGCACCCACAGGTGGAGGCGCTGCGCTGCGGCTGCGAGTTCCTGGAGAGGCGAGCGCAGCTGTGCTGCTGCGGCGGTGGTGGCGGCGGCAGCGGCGGCGGCAGCGGCGGCGGTGTCCTGGCGCGGCGTGGCGGAGCGTGGTCCTCGGCGGAGCCGAGCGCGTCCTGCGAGCCTCCGAGCCAGGGCCGAGTCGGGTGAGGGGGAGGTGGGGACCACGGCGCGCTTGGGCACGAAGCGGAGCGGATCCAGTTCAGTGTGCGGCCAGCCGCTAGCCGAGCAGGGGACCGCCACGCGCGCGCATCCCCGTCAGCACCCTCACATTGTGCAGTTGCTGTTGTGCCGTTCGACGTCAAGCCGATTCGGCGAACCCTTTGGATTAGTGACGCAGTCCCGGAGCCCGCCGAGGCCTTGTGTGTGTTTGTGCTGTGTTCAGATAATTCGGAATCGAATCGTGCTGTTTTAAAATAATATCTGTGAGTGAGTGCGGTAAGGTCCTGGTGGAGGTCCTGACACCGAATTGTGCTTTGTGTTCGGCCCACGGGTCGAGAAGAATTTAATTTGTGACAAAATCAACATCTCTACACCTTGAACTTTGGATACGACGCATCTTTCGCTGCTAAAAAGGTAAATTCGCGACTATTTCGAATTATTTTGAGATGACGGGACGTAGAGGAGTTTGGGTTTGTTTACAAAGGTATATTGTTGATTGCGACTTCGCGTGGGGTACTCTTCTGGTTGCCAACGAGCGTCCGAGGCCCAGTAATTGCCGTTTTTCCACCCCCCAAGTCCGCGGAGAGCCCCTGCGAAATTGGGGAACAAAGAACAACTGTCTCGTTTTGAGGTTATGTTCACGCAGCGAGGCGGCTCGGCTCGGCAGCTCTCGCAGCTCAGCTCGCTCCTCGGCTCTCGCCACCCCGCGCACCTCGCTCGGCTCGCACTCCGTCCCGAAATAACGTTCTCTGTGGTGGATGGGGTGCTCTGGTAGATTTTTAAAAAGTGTAAGTCGCGTCTTTTCCTGCTGTCCTCTTCTCGCAGCCACTCTGTGTTTTGCTGAAGCTAATGCGCCCTTCCCCCCCGGTCTGCATAAGCACGCTGGCATGTTTACGTTTGTGCCCCCCGGGCCCCGCATGCGAGGATTTCTTGTGTTGTTCTTGCCCGGCGCCAGGGAAGCGCAATCTTGTTTCCGTTCGGTCCTCTTTCCGAGCTGAAGTGTTCGTGACAATAGTGCCGAGGCGCCCCGTCACTTGAACACCACCACCGCCGGCCGCCGGCTCCACTCCAGAGACCACCTTGAGCGGAGGGCGGCTGGACCACACGGTGCACGGTGTGTGACTACTTTCAGGTAGATAGCTTAGCACCATATTGCCTATTCACTAGGAGTATTGTCATAAGGTTACGCCCCCCCCCCTCCCCCACACCCAAAAATAAAAAGACATCCTGTGTCTGCAGTCCGCACCTGCTTTGTCGGCCGGGTGACGTCACGGTCGACCAGTTTTCCGAGGAGCAAACGTGTATATCTGCGTGACCGACCAGCGCGCGCTCCCCGCCGCCGGCCGCCCCCCTGTGCACATCGCGGCCGAGGAATTCCGTAACGAGAATCTAAGAATGCCCTCCTCGCGAACGGCTTGAATGGCGTGCGTCTCGTCTTTCCCAAAAGGCAGCCAGCCAGCCAGTCGTCGTCGTCGCACCGGGAGGGGCACACATTAGAGAGGAGGCCAAAGAGCCCCGAGAGCCATTCCAAGCCTGCTGGCCGGCTCGGCTCGCCCCGCTGCTGTGCAAGGGGATACGACGACGGCTGAAAAACAATTGGAAGAATTCCAGCAATACGCAGCAGCAGCAGCGGCGGCACACTCACTCTCGCTCCCTGCTGCTGGGGCCGCGCCAGCCACCGAGGTGTGGGCGCCACAGCGCGCACAGCGGGCAATCGAAAAGCGATACAGCGGGATGGGGCATCCAAGTGATGCATTTTGGTTTTCGGACGATTGCGTTACCTGCTGTGGGGGGCGAGGGCGGATGCTGTCCTATTCAGAGCATATGGGCGCGGCGCTCGGGGGGGCGTAAGCCGTCCTATGGGGCTGGGAGACGGACCCCGGGCCGTATGAATGCGCCGTAAAGTTGTAGCCTCGCCAATCCCGGGGCGGCTGGTGCCGGGGCTGGTGCCGAGGCTGGTGCACGGCTTCCCCATGGGGCACGGGCCCGGGGATCCCCAAAGTTGTCCCGCATTAGTACGTGGCCGTGTGCACAAAGGGGGCTAATGGGCCTCCCGGGCTTCTGCACCCAATGAGCGGCGGGGCGGCGCGGGCCCCGGCGTGCAACTCTGCATGCCAAAAAGGGAAGGCGGAGGAACTAGGATCGCGCGGGCGGGATCACCTCCTCGTCGTCGTTGTCGTCCTCAGCCCAGCCCAGAGGTGGCGCGCCACGCCCACGGGGACACGGCGAGTATTATGTGCGGTGCACGACACGGCGGGCTCAGACAGCTTACCGCCCCCCAATCGCCGGGGCGGGGGCGGGCCCGGGGCCCGGGGCCCGGGGCGCAGGAAGGTGGGCGCGGGAGGGCTACCCGTCGCCCTCCTGTCCCCGGGGGAGGTGGCCGTCACCGCTCGGGTGATTCCTTTTGTTGCCCCGTTATGCGTAGTATGCGAATCTCCCGCCGCGCACGTTCATTGGAAAGGGACTCTGGCCGGCCATTTTCTACATTGGCAATATCCCTTTGAGCTGCCACTGCGCCGTTTTTTTAAAAAAAAACTTTTTTCATTAAATCGATTGCCTTTTGATGTCGGCGTGTGATTCCATTTCATGGGATGGACATTACTACCTTTCATACGTGATTGTTTGCGGCTGGCTTGCGTTTTTTCCCTCGTTTTTTCTTTCTTTTGGGCATCCATTTTGCGTCTGCCATGAGGACGCCCATCCCCCATTTGGGAAAGTGGGGAAAGGGGGCTGGAGGGGGCTCAATGGGCTCATGACGCCTGGGCCCGACGCGCTCCGACTGACAAAAGGTTGGCAGGGCGAATTTCCCAATCGGGCCCAAGAGCCGAGTCCGTGGCGCGTACTCCCGGCAAACAGAAGAACAATAATGGTGCAGATTTGGGGAAATGAGTGGGAGGAGCTGCTGCTGCTGCTGCTGCTGCTGCTGCTGCTGCTCCTCCTGCTGCTCCTCCTGCTGCTCCTGCTGCTCCCCTTCCCCTTGCACGGGACGCACAAAGCCCGTGCCGGGCCTCTGCCCAGGCCTTCACGGCGTCCGTTCCTTTGCTGCTTTGTTTGTTTGAATGGCTTCTATTCCTTAGTAGAGTGCAAACAGCGCTAGAGTGTTTGAATACAGGTCTTATAGGAGCGGGAGCCGATCCGATTGCTATGGGGCTGGTCCGAGAGAGACGGGGTGCGCGCGCGTGTCCGTCGTGGCCTACGGGGTTTGGGCGAGAGAGAGTGGGCGTAGGCCGGACCATCTGCCTCCGCAAATAGCGTCCGTCGAGATTGCCCCGGAGTGAGTGTCGATAACAGGATCCTGGCGTGTAGGCCCACCAGCTCGCTTGAGGGGTTTCTGAGCCCCCCCTCAACGGGGGGAGGGCGCGGATGCTCCCGGGCCCCCGTGTGTCTGGGCGGACTGAACACCCCCAAGGCTTTTGCATGGAACAGGGGCTGGTCGTGTTTTCCCTGTCGCAGATGGCGTATGCGCGGAGCAGCGTGGATGCCGGTCGGGCTCGTTCATATAATAAATTGCTCAAACCGTTCGAGACGACATCGAGATGGAGACAGGTCAAGAGATGTGCGTAAATCTCCGCACCGTTTCACACACCGGCCGGGGCGTCGCGCCCATGTGGATGAGCAGCTTGGACTCGAGTGTAGCTCGCGCGCCTCCGGACGGACGCGAGGGAGGCCGACGTTTTGTAAACAATTTATTAAAATTCAGAGCTCGGCGCCGTGGACGACGGCCGTCGTGTCCGCCGTGGCGCGGCCACCGCAACCCGGCCGGCGCTCGGGCGGCTCATTGTGTGCGAGACGATGGGCGTGGAATGTAACAGCACAGCGACCTCCTCTCCTCATGCTCTCCCCTCCTCTGCAACCCTTTCTTTCTCTCTGCCTCTTCCTCTCTCTCTCTCTGGTCCGCCGCGGCAGTAGAGCGCCTCCGCAGGATGGCGAGAGAAAAGAGGAGCACGAGGAGGAGACACGAGCAGCAGGAAAGAAGCTCGCGTCCCGGCGGCGCGCGGCACCCACTTCACTTCTCAGAGCGAGGACGAGGACGACGACTCCATCCTGCCAGGGGGACCCGCCAGGGACCGTCCGGAACACCGACCGCCTTCTGGGTGTCTATGTGCCCCGCGTCGTCTGAGTAACCGCGTGACCTTGCCGCGAACCTCGCTTTACATGTCAGGTTGCCGCTTGTGAGGGGGAGAGAAGGGGTTACAAACTTTTGCAATCACGTGCACTATATTTAGCAATCAGACTAACAAATTTGAAAATTACACTCGATTAGGGTAAGTATTTTGAACTCAGTGGGCCTTAAATACTTAAGTAACCAAAATGAAAATCTGCGTAAATTTTTGTTGAGTTGCGGGACACTGCTGGAAATTCAGAGTGCTTGCTGACTCCTCAACGTGCGTGTGCTTGTTGAAGGGGGGGAGAAAGAGCGAGAGATAGAAGGGGGGGGGGGCTTTTGTGTAATTCCCTCTTTCAGTGCGAGCGTATGGTTGACATGATCCCCGGCATTGTGGTGGCTTGTTCATCTCAGCTGCGTCTCGCCAAGCTGCTGATCTCCGCAGCCGCACCCACACAATACTACCCCCTCCGTCCCTTTCTCGCGCAGCACCAGGTCCAGGTTGAAACGAAGGGTGCTCCGGGCGCGGGCGGGTACCTTTCCGGCGACGGTACCTCTTGTTCGGTCGTGATACACTCCCCTCCCCCGGCCCCCTCTCCTTCCCAACCTCCCCTCTCCTCCCCCTCCCGCCACCCCTTTTCCCCCAAAGACTCGCGGCTCCAGACCCTTTCTCCACAAGTTTCGGTGCAGATGGACCAGTGGGCCACTTCGTCCGCCACTTGGTGACAACTTGCGGGGGGCGGTGGTGCGGAGGAGCCCTTGCGGGGGAGGGAAGTGTGGCCCTCCTCCTGATTGAGTTATCAGTTGGTAACTGTCCGAGTCCTTTTCCCTGCTCGCCGTCTCGGAATCGTATCCCGAAGCAGCGCCACAACGGCGCGCTCCGCCAGCACCTGATTGGGAGCGTCTTTTTGTTGCCAAGTCCTTCGTACTCGTATTATTGTGTAGTTGGGTACCCGGATAATCGTTTCGTTGATTTGACACAGGTTTTTAATTCGCCTCATTTCTTTAATTTAAACAAATTGCTGTGAATCAAAGCGACCTTCTTTGATTTAAAGAAAACGTTTCCTTGAATTAAATTTCTTTCCTGGAATCGAAGGTAACAGTAAAATGCTGTATTAATTCAAATCGACACAGATCTAAAGAACGATCTCGAAGAAGAAAAAATAGTTTTGCCTTTTTTTCTTTCTTTGAATGAAAGACATGTTGCTTTAAAATGAAGAAGTTTGTTTCTTTGAATTGAATGAACTTTGAATGAAAGAAGCCATTCAATGGGTGAGCGACGTCGAAGGCGGTTGCGTCCTTTGCGATC